ACAACAAAACATTTGTGTGAATTTGTCTCTTTAATCCGATCAAATCAGTTCGGTACACTATCATATACAGCTTTCAGGCTAGGTACTTCTTTTATTGGTTTGACAAATGCATTTTGGACTTATTTGTATTTTAAGTCCCTCTCATGAGTATCATGAGAGTTGAAAAGTGAGTATCATGTTATATTTTAGCTGTTAAAAAATATATAATGTTATAAAGTAATAATTATAAATATATAGGTTCACCGTATTAATGTGAAAATGTATTTGAAGGGTTTTTAAATGGCTGTATTTTAAACTTTCCAACGTTACCAGTTATACACCGGAGGTTTTTAAAAAACAGAACCTTAGGTAACGTATAAGTGTAACAATTTTTTAATACAATAGTTTTATGTCAGTAAATATAATCTACACGCGAAGAATTTGTCATCTCACTAATTGTATATAACTTTTTTGTTTTTAAGTAATTGTATATAATTTTTTAAATAATTTGTAGTTTGAACTGAAGAGGAACTTAAAATACAAATAAGTCCGAAATGCATTTGTCAAACCAATAAAAGAAGTACCTAGCCTGAAAGCTGTATATGATAGTCTACCGAACTGATTTGATTGAATTAAAGAGACAAATTCACAATGAAATAGCAGCTACCATAAGTGATATTAACAAAACATCTTAGTAACACCTTTGTCAAATATTTGTCAACTTTTACACCTGGGAGTATATCTTTAAGTTCTCAGCATTGATAAAGACACTTTCTCATGACCTTCTGATCTGCTGTCCCAATTTTGTCATTTTAATATAACAACTAGCAGCTAACTGAATCGGTCGTTGCCAGTTCCTCAACCAGACCAGTTGTTTCTTGTGCCTCCATTACTCTTATTTTTTGGATACATCATCTTTGGTCCATTAACAGATACTTCAGCAATTTCCTGTATGGATACGTCATTCCTCTCACCTACAGCCATATTATCTACTGTTAACATCTGGAATAAGAACTTTCCACTTATCGATCCAACCAGCAAGCATCAGATTCCTAGACCTCCTCTACAAGATATTTATCAACTTGTGATCTATTGTGAACTCTCTCTCTCGCGAAATGGAGTAACGCGTTTAGGCACTTAGAACCTCCTTATTTTGCTAAGACTAATCTAATGTGTAACCTTTAAGGAATAAATAAACAGATGTATGTGTTTGTATAGTCAGTCTCTGAGTGCATTGCTTCCATTGCGCTGTCTCATATAACTATCCAGAATCCGATCACTTATGCATGCAACCACTCGTGTGATCTAGTAACCAAAACCAATTCACCGGCACGGCTTGTGTCAAACAGGACACCATAGTGTTGTCCTGACGCTGCATCAAAGAGGTGCCGACCCTCCAGTCACATATGTGGCCGGCATGTTGTTCCAAAGAACCATAGCACAGTTTTCAATGTATAGTGTATTCATCCAGACTTTGTGTTGCATTTCTGCAATACATAACCAAGGTGAATTGTTGGGTGTGTTGCATATTTACAACAAATGGCACTTAATGTGTTAATTTTGCACAAGAACTGACAAAGTAAAGCAGAACTTTATTATTAAGAAACAAAAGAAAAACACACATGATCTAAATTGCCTAACTGTTACCACCAAACACTAGGAAATTTTTTAATTTTTGGGGTTAATCACACTTGCACTGAAATTTGCATCACTTGCTGTTTTTACATATCTTAGTGTGATGTCACAATTAACTATGCCACTCTATCTCATTTACATACTTATGAACTAACAAAAAAAATTGTTAGTTCATACTCTTTCTTCATACTCTTTCTAGAAAATTCTGATTTTTAAGATCAGTAACAAAATGATTAAATGACAATACTTTAACACCATTCAGAGATCGCTTAATCTGAGATGCCATTAATAGATTGATGACATTGGCTTGGCAACAGTGCTCATTAATACTTAAGTTCAATGGAGGTTTTAAATTGCATTTTTGCTTATTATTCTTGATTTCTCCTCTACTACATGTCATTAGTAATCAACAAATGTAAAAAGTAGCATATTTAATGTTGACTTATTATACAAAAAATCTTTCAATGAGTTGTGTAACTTTCCTGGCTGTTATGAGATTTTAATAATTAAACAGTGATTTTTAAAATAATCACTAAATTAATAAAATTGTAGCACTATCTATTATGAGACTTTGTTATATAAATTTTATATATTTTTAATTCCCCTCAAAATTAAGTCCACTGCTATTTTATAATAGAGATAAGTTTTATAAAGATCTGTAAATGCTAACAAGTAAAATCTTCATTAAGCTCAACCCCATGTGAGATATGATGGCATGTGAACACCCTCTATCTCCCCTCTCGACCTTCCATCATGAAAATTTAATAGCATCAATGCCCCCTTATACACAAGCTATTGTGCCAAATTTCGTTTTTCTTAATCTTCACCCCATCTTGAGATATTAAACGAAATAGATACCAACACATATCTATGGAATTTTTGCCATGTTTTTTAACATTTTTGGATTTGGGGTTTCAAAACGTGATTTGCAAAAAACTCAGAGGGTCAAATTTGAGAAGATTTCAATACTTTCCCATATTTATACATAACAGCTGGGAAAGTAAAAAGCAAACTCAATGTATTAGTGTTAAAGAATTCTGGACTTGTTACATTTTAAGTGATGTGTGTCATAATAATACTTTTTGGTACATATTAGAGGTGATGCAATTTCCATGGCTGTTGCTGTAGTATACATATATTTTAGAATATCTCTCTCTTTTAAACATATTTTTAAAAATTGAATAACCAACAATTTTTAAATTACAATTATTTAAAAAATAGTATTAAGTCAAGTTTCTGGTATGAAAGGAGCAAGATAATGCTCGTGTCATATTGGTAATCAAACCTATTAGTTTCGTAAAATACACATAGTGGCTTTTCCGAGATTACATCTGTCGGAATGAGTCTAATGAAGCATTAAATAAATAGTGAATTGCNTCTTTAAGCGACTCATTGCCGGAAGAAAATTTTGTAAACCATCTTTGGGCGGTGTGAGTGCTAACAGAACCTTGTCCAAAAGCCTGGCATATTTTGTGAGCCATTTGCACAGCACTTGTTCCAAGTTTAAACTCACACAACATACAAGCACGAATTACAGAGTTTGGAGTACTCATCTTCAAGTCAATTTTTATAATATTAAGAGATAACCTTTCCACTTCTATTTATATAAGATGAGTCAGCATTAAATCTTGATTAACATATTGCTGGAATTTTAGTGTCATCTATTGTGTATTGCGTGTAACATTCTTTAAACATTGTAGTTTCACAAAAAACGACAGAACTTTTTTGGTTACCTAATAGTATTAAGTCAAGTTTCTGGTATGAAAGGAGCAAGATAATGCTCGTGTCATATTGGTAATCAAACCTATTAGTTTCGTAAAATACACATAGTGGCTTTTCCGAGATTACATCTGTCGGAATGAGTCTAATGAAGCATTAAATAAATAGTGAATTGCTATTTGTAAGCAATTTTTCAGATTCATGTATACATAAATAATAAATTTACTCAAATCTATCAAAACAGTTGTTGGAATGACTGTTTATATCTAAAAAATTTAGTGTTTTCACTTCAAATACTGTTAATCTGCAGGTTTATACTAGTTTATATAATTATTGAATTGAAGTCCTAGGCCAGTTTTGTGAAAATGTTTATTTTTAATTCTTATTCTTGAACATTTATACTGAACAAAGAAAGAACAATATTAAAAGCTATCATTCTATCTTGAAGTCACTTCACCTTTGTGAATCAAAAATATTATTCAATGAGTCAAAGAATAATCAACATGATGACTAATATACTTAGTTTATATGATGATAAATAAATTAATTTGAGAGTTGTGTTTTCGGTTTTATGTGACTAAATGTATTTAAGAACTATACAGTAGATAAAGTTAAGCCTTCTATTTTATACAAAATAAATTAATGAAACAAAATGACACATTCAGCAGTTTAACACACAATGGATTGCACTAAACAGAAAATTATTATTCAAATTTCATCTTAATTGTGCAGCATTGAAAAAGTATTTCTGAATAAGAAGTCTGAAAGTCTTCATAAGCTTGTACTGAGGAAATCACCTACCTGCTCATATCCTGTCCCCCATCAAAGCTAAGGTATAAGTTTCTGGTACCCGAACTTAATTGCTGACATTCCATTCTATCTACTTAATGAAATATAATTTATCTTTTTTTAATTTTTATATAATAATATTGTTTAAAAAGATAATTTCATGTCTAAAAATAGTGAATTTCTGTGGCAATACAAACATACACATGTCTGTACTTAGCTGAAGTTAATATATATGATATGAATTATCAAGGCATAGAAATTGTATGTACTGTATTACATGTAATGTGGTATATTTTGCAAATAAATACAAGTAGTAATAATAAAAAATTAAGATTTCTATATACTTACCATATTTCATATACTTCTGAGTTATGTTGCCCAGAAATAAATTGTAAGGTGACAAAAAAATTCTCCACAATACATTTCCTGCCCCATCATTGCCTTTTTCTTTCTTAATTTTCATTTGACATCTTAAATTGTGTCATTTTCCTCTCTAGCACCTTTAAAAATTCTTGGATTTGTTTTAGAACTTTAACTTCTTTGTATCTATATTCTTTTAAAAATAATTCTGGAAACAGTTTTTTGCTGTATCAATAAAAATCTTTCTTTCCTACTCCACTTCAACCTTTATTTTTGCTTTTCATTTCTCTTGACTGGAGAATACTATGTAGAGCTTGAAAATCTATATAAATAGAGCTAGGAACATCTAGACCAGTGCTCTGCATGTCATTCATATTGAGAGATGAGATAGTCTCACTAGAGCAATCTCATTACGTTTTACACTGCTCTAATTAGAGAAAATCTAGCCAAAAAGTCTGTAGTATATATGAACTTTAATGAATTTTAATGTTTATAGTAAATGACCTTTGTGGAAAAAATCAGTTTTAATAAAAATTTTATTTCAAAACAACACTTATATAAATATTTACGTTAGTAAAACAGTTCTTAAACTAAGTCTTAACAGTAACAATTTAACATCTGTATACACCTAGAACATAAATCATAAACATTATTGATTTGACATTGATTAAATGATATCAGAAAATTTCAAAAATATATTTGGACAAAATGTAGGAATGTTTTAAATGCACTATGTGCATATATGATTTTAATGTACATGATGAATTCAAATTATTGCCATAAAATCTACTTTTTCAATTTTATGAATTTTTAAGGCACTTCATGGACATATCCAGTTTATGTGCCTTTATTTATAAATGATATTTTTTTTTTAGTTTAAATCCAAGCACCAAAAGCTATATTTACTTTTGAGTTACATATATACATACAAGTTTTTAGCTCTTGTGGAAAAAGTAACATAAACTACAGATACATAACAACATAATGGTGAATGCATTATAGTATATCAGATAGCGGAATTTTGGATCTATATCTCCTTGACGGTACCAATAAATCTGAAAAATAAACATTAGTAGATTCATTTCAAAATTGTTAGATACAATAAAAATATAAATATCATACAAAAAATTACAAAACTCAGCACCATGTTGCTACATACTTAAAAAAACCAAGGATAACTTCTTGGTTATGAGGACAAACTTTTTGATTTAATTGCTTTTAGTCTCTTGGACAAGTACAGTGGAACTGGAGTTTAGTGTCATTATTTGTTTCCTAGTGAAATTGGCACCAGCTGTTAAGCACTAAATGGAAGTACGTCAATAAGAATTACATGTAGTAATGAAGTCTATGCGAAGGTTTGAGTTTGAATGTTGTTTATACAGAGTAATGTAAAATCATAGATACTAAAAAGAGATTCAAAGATTCTGACATTAACCAAAAACATAATCTAGTAAGACAAAATAATTCAAAATCCTTTCACAATTATTGAAAATAGTTTAATGAATTGAATTTAAAATGTTCACATCTAAAAGACAGTCAAGAAGTAATATTTATAATGAAAATAAAAAATAATTTTATTTAAGCTTTATCACATTATCGACAAATTTCCTTCCAAAACAAATGAGAAGAAATTACAATTTATAATGTATTATATCATATATTATGGCAATTATAGTACTATTAATGAATATTAATGATTATATATTTATATTAAGACAATGTTATAATTCAAATTATAATTATATTACTAACTAGGATGATTAATGCATACAACAATTGAAAGGGTGAGCACAACAGCGGTATAACTCTCCTAATGTTAAAATTGAGTAAATGGTGTGCTCTAGCGTTAAATATACTGTTTTTAAATACAACAAACAATTACTAGGATCCCAATTAAGTTTTGATGAAAACAAAACAAGTATAACAGTGAAATATGAAAACTAGTGTACAACAAAGTACAATATCTCAATGTTAAAAAAAATATATAATTAAACCACTGTTTTTACTCAGCCTGTAAAGAATCGATTTTGAACCATTCTATTTTTAGTTCATTATTCTATTTATTTTGGTGTGTTTTATTTCGTTAAGGATAGACTACAGCACTTCACCGGACAAAATTCTAAAAGTTAAAAACTCACCTTACAACGACTGCGGACAGAAAAAAAAAAATGACGCCATCATCTCAAAACAAAATGTTGGGGGGAGACTTCAACAGGAAGTTAAAAGAATGATCTCCCACCCCGAAATTGTTACCAGACAACACAAAAAACAATATTTTAAAACTGTGAGGGAGATGACATGAGTAAAAAAACTGACTATGAGAATAAATAAAATGTTACTGTGTATGTATGTAAATAGGGCGAGTGAGTGGATACATTGTAATGTCACCACAGCTGCCGCATAAAAAAGATGAAGAAGAGACAACTTAGACGAGGCAGAACTTAGATTCAAATGTAGTGCTATGAATTGAATGATCGATGAAAGGGTTTCAAGTTCCAGTAACAGAGTTTTGGTGACACACACAATGAGTCTTACAAATTTGACTATTTTTTCAATAGAATTGATTCCTATTTTTCTTGTCAGTTGTGTGGAGATAAATCAAATTAGAACTATCTTAATTTTAAGTTCCAAAACTGTCGGGAAGGTTTTGTACATATTTGTTTCAGTTTGATGAAGTATCTTTGTAAAATAAAAAAAAAAAAAAAAGATTTTCTAGCATTATTTAATTGTTCATATACAGGCTTTATTAATAAAAAGAATTTTTTATATTATGTATAGTAATTCTTTCAACAATTGATCTTTACTAACAATATTTTATTTTTGCCCACGCAAGTCCAGGCCTGGCACACCAACAACAAACCTTAGTATGTAATGTGTCATTAGCATATTTTTCTGGGCTTTTGCTTTACTTTCATATAAGACATTACAAACCTTTCAACTAAGAGATTTGATATTTTTTTAATTAAAAAGTTTCCCTAAGAATCAAATATACATTTATGTATATAAATCAGGTAATTAAATAAATTAATGTCAACAGTTGTTATATATTGATGACAAAATGGCCAAAGCAGTAAAGCCTGCCCAGTCTAGGACAGATCCTTAAAAATTTTCAACATAGATATATGTTTGGACCCGTCCATTTCTTTCTCCCATTGGACACTGCCTATTTTCTTGATTGTCACAGAAATAGCTTTCTCAGCATGTATCCATGAGGAAGAGGGCATTTACATTGTTCAACATGTAATGATTTTATGTATACTTGATCAGTTGTTCATTTTACTGATTAAAAAAATTATTTGTAATAAAAATTTTTTGATTCTGAAATTTTTGTATTTATATATTGATATTTAAAACTTAAATAAACAAATACTCACTAGTATTAGATGAGAAGCAGATACAAAAACAATACAAAATGCAAAGAACACATCTAAACCTCGATTGGATTTATCTGCTACAAAGGCACATATTAAAGTTATCTGTGAAATAAAATAAAATAGTTAAAATTACTTTCTAATATATAATTTATATACATATTTCTTTACTTTAATTAATGTGAAAAACTATTCCAAAAGATTAACTTTAAATGATCTTGAAATTGACACAAACTCAAAAAAGCCAAACAATCTTGCCAAAATTATTGGGCTCTTTTTGGGCCTTGTTAATTATTATTACTTAATTTGACTACAGGTAAGTTGTTAAATAACATAGCCGAAAAGTAGGCAGATAATTTTGACAAGTTCGTTTGGCTTTATCAAACCTGAAAATATAGTTAACCATAATAAAACTGACGATATGTAAAATTTGACATGGATATTTGTTAAAATAACTATACAATTTATAATACTAAATGCTATTTTTATTGCTTTTCTTACTTTTCTAAATTAATGACAACTATTCTATGTACACACATCTTTATTATCTAAATATATGCAAGTCAAATTAGAGTGAAGTTAAAATCATATATAGCAATATAATTACATTCTAATGAATAAATAAAATTCAGAATTACAGAAAAACTTTATTAAATTCTACTTACAAACAAATAGTATCATCATTACCACAACTGTAACAAAATTTTAGTAATTAAAGAATTTATGTTATATCATAGAATAGAAAAAGGAATTAAATTGTTGATTAAATGTATACAAAATGAATAAATGTCGGGAATGAATTCTGACATCACACAAACTATTTTGAGTGATGATTTTTAGAGTAATTAGTTCAAACTCAGTAATACATTTAGTTCTAGAAGTCTAATACAGTCGACCCCCTATAAGATATAGATACGTTCAAATTTATTAGGAATCCGATTTCTTACAAGTCGTTCCAATCACATCGTTCCAATCACAGCTGACACGTGTCAAGTTTACGGACTACGGCTGATTGAAAGGTTTTCTTCCATAAAATTAATCGATTCTACACTAATCCGACTCAACATTTCCAAAATACGTATATTTTTTCGTAGTTTTATAGGAATCGTAATTATAGGGACCGTAATTATAGGGGGGGTCGACTGTAATTTATTTCAGTTAACACTTTTGAGGTTTCCTTCACCTTTGGAATCTATAATTAAATTATTATAATTTTAGTGACAATTTTTTATTGCAAATGAAGGAATTAAAACCACTAAATAAATTATAAATTACACTCAAAAAAATAAAGCTAGTTGTTGGGTTTGAATTGACCATAGTAGCAACTATATATACAGTACATACATTGGGTGACAATAGCTAGAGGAGTGTTATGGAGGAAGGCTGTGGGTGCTTAAGTTGTCCCCAGTTGGCACCACAACTGACCTGTATGGTTATATCTAAATTAATAATTCTGGAAGCAAAGATTGCTCGGAGATCTGGGCAATGCATCATCACAGTAAGTGGGAGTTGTGGATTTAAGTCTCACTCTGGACAGATTCTATTCTTCTGGAAAATTCTAAATGTAATTTAATAATTATGATGATTAAATCTAGTATGAGATGGCAGCCTACTTCTATACAAATTATTTAGTATTTAATTAATTACATAGCCATATCATAGCCTGATAATTTGGTAATCGTTTGGATTTAATCTCAGATATTTTTTTATTTCTTCAGACTCCATTTTTAAGACCATCAGATTTAAAAAATCAATCAAATATATATATGATGGTAAAAAGTTCAATCGTGATAAGAAATATACTCAGTTATAGAATACAGTTCATATTTTTTATCATCAGAAAACATTTTAAAATCATTTTAGTTCATCAACAACTGGTTTTACTTCTGTAAGACAAATTAAACCTGTATATTGGAAAATAATAAGATTTAATGTAATTTCATTTCGTTTTATTCATTGATAGATTTCAATTCAAATAAATTAAATTTAAATGCTATTTTAGAAATATTCCAAATTCACATTCCATAATTCTGTCTTAAAAAAATTTTTTTTTATATTGTTGACAGGGCAGAAAGCCTTGCCATCACTAACAGGGCCTTTTTCGTGCCCATTGTGGATATGCAAGGCCCACAATAGGGAAGCTAGAGGAGCAGGACTTTAACCATCTAGCTAGAAAATCTTTAGATTTAATATTTATTATTTTATCTTAAACTATTTATTATAAAATATATTAAAAAGAATATTAGAAATTAAATATTTCTTTATATTACAAAGATAAATTAAATATATCCAATTGTTTCAACTTTTCTTTGAGTAAATTTTATTAAAAGTTGCTTACATAAATAAAAATCAAAACTTTGTATTCATAGTTGGCATTGAAAAATTACTATTAATGAAAGCATTTAATTTTTCCAAGAGGAAATGTTTTTGAATTAGCCTGAAGATACTACAATTGTTGTCACATGTTACACGGTTGCGCAACAGAATACTAATGTCTCTCTCGATAATATTTAAATAGTTTATTGCTATATTTGAAATCTTGATGTCACTTTTTTTTATGTACTTTGAGAAGATTAGCTTTTTTGAATTCTTAGAATTTAATCTTTAATTACTAAGAAATATTTTAAACTTTAAAATAACAATCCTTAGAAGGAAAAAGTTGTCGAAAATAATGGACCTTAAAAATTTCTCTTATGCACAATCACAAATACCATCTCTCCGAACTATTATCTTAAATTTTGATGGATATCAAATTGCTTTTAGCTTAATATAATACACCAAACTTCAAACATGATTTTAATAAAAATTCTAATATTTGTACACAAATCAATAAAAAATATAAAAAATAAGTTTGCATATTTTAATTTTTTATTACAATTTTACATAACAAACAGCTAAAACAATTCAAATGCTTCTGAATATTATGATAAGTATTAAAAATTAAAAAACAATACTTTTTGATGAATCAATATAAATATAATTTTATTTTATAAACAATATTTTCTCGATTCTCTGTTTTTTTACCTATTTTACTTATCCAAAATAGAGGCAAGTTTTACAATCAATGGAGTCTTAACATTAAGTCCAAAACAATAATCAAGTCACTGTGAATAGGCCACATAATGCCTTATGCATCAGTAACAGATATTTCAACTATACAACTCAATAGTCACATCATAGAGGTTTGCTAGTAACAAGAATTTAATTTAAACTCCTTTTTAATAATTAAAATGTCTTCAAGATGACATTTGACACAGCATTAAAACAGATATTATATATGCTAAAAGAGTTTGGAAGTAGTACTGGCAAACATTATTTTATGACATTTGTAGTTTTTCTAACTTCTTGTTACTTAATAAAATTTAACAAAAGAAAATATCTTATAAATTTTAATTTCAAAATCAAATAAACATGGTGTATAAATTTTGAAAACAAAGCATATTTGACAATGCTATTTATCTAAATATAAATCAAAGTACAAAGTACAATTATGTTAACAATGTACAAATAAATGTATCACTTTGATCGTACAAACTTGTAAAAGAGAACAAATGGCAAAGATTTTACTTTTGGTTCATAATAGACATTTTTATTATTTAATAAGATATCTGTCTTAGTACAAAACTGTTATTAAAACATTTAACAAATGCTTATATATTCACATTAATAGTAGCATTATCACATTATATATTGAAACAACTGATTGGCATTTTCTCTCTGCATATATGTCGCACACATCAATACAAAAATATATTATAAAGTAATACTCAAAAAACTTTTATAATTTTTCAAATAAAGTATGTTATGTAACAAATAATGCAGTAAACTATTAATGCAGTAAACTATTAATGGCATATATATATATATACATATACCATTAATAGTTTACTGCATTATTTATTATTTAGTATATATATATTAGATACATTTTAAATGTATATATATAAATGTATACATTTAAAATGTGTACAATCTAAATGTATGTATATATATATATATATATACACACACATTTTAAATACCATATGTATTTACTCACATATAAGACAAGGTTTTTATTCATTTTTGATTGCTTCATAAACCTAGGTCATCCTATACATATGAGCGAAGGATTCTTTGCATTTTTGCAATAATTCTTGTGAACCATGTGTTCGCATTTTTTACAGGATGCTCACCCTCTGGTGTTTAAAAAACAAAAGTATATTTTATCTGGGTCATTTCAATCATTCTTGTGTATTGTCAGGAGTAAAGATTACGTACCTCCGAAACCTTTAACCGATGTGAATAAATTTAACATTACTAATGTTTTCAGACCTCTCCTGGGTCCTTCTTCAGGTAAAATCGTCAAAGTAACCATTCGTTTCAAAAGAATTTTTCAAAACCTTTACGTTAGTAATGTTAAATTTATTCACATTGGTTAAAGGTTTTGGAGGTACGTAATATTTAGTAAACTTCGGTGTGTAATTGTACGTTATTGTTAGGAGTAAAGATGAATAGCAATAGGAAAAGCAAAGCTTTTGAATTGAATTCCAATTTGAAATTTCAAAATCACATAGGAGCCCAATATAGGTTTTAATCCATTCCCATGTGAAAACGGATGATTATTCAGAAATCACAATTCAGAGGAATTCATAAGTGTAATCAACGGAGAGTGGACTTGACTGTTAACAATTGGCAAAAAAGGTTCCTGATTCTCCAACTTTACATAAACAAATTATGTCGATTTTACAAGATTTTTCCTTAAAGTTTAAAATGACAGTAATTTTTGCATGACAATGTGTGNATCTTGACAATTTAACACACAACAATCAGATTTGGGACATACATTGCCAGAAAATAAAAAGTTTCTCATCATCATCTTATAACAGCTACGTGATGTTTATCTACTTCCAAATGTCAATACGGAAGACGACGTACAGAATATGGATTAAAATTAAGTCTGTTCAGAAAATCTTAATGGTTCAACCGCCGCAACTGGGCAATTTATTGGTAGCCACCAGACTTACCAATCTTTAATGGCAGAACAGAGAGTGACCGATGACTCTATTTTCTGCTGCAGACCTACCGATCGGTACGCATTTCCGAACAGATACCATAACGAGCATGGAAGAGCAGAGAACGTGGGTAATTTCTAATCTACACGCAGAGGAATTTGTGGCCATTCTGTAACTTAAACAGAAATGAAAATTTTTTACTGTTCTATTTGAAACTCCAAATAAAGGTCGATCAGTTATCTGATTTCCAAACAGAGAATGATATTCGGTATTTCTGGCATCCATTTTAAATCAAATCTAGTAATATGTAATAAAAAAAAAAAAAGAAAAGCAACACATCAACAAGCACTGACAATTTCACACTACTCAAAAAAATTATAAGTAAATCAAGTGATGGATAAGCTAAATAATTTTTATCGTTTATTAATAATAGATTTAGAACCTAACTCACTTAACAAAGATAATATTTGAATAAAATATTTAGAAATTCATAAATAATAATTCATTCATTAATTTGTTTATGTTTACTTTCATAATCATATTAAGATTTATATAAGATATCACAAATTAATTACCTTCAGATCAAACTATGTTAATAGTTTTGCCTGTGGGAATTATTCATATAAATATAAAACAATATATTGAAAGCAAAAATAACTTATATGGTAAATTTTTACAACTGGAAATTGGGACAGAATATTTACAACTGGGTTAATCATGAGTATAAATTGTTTTTTCTGGTTCTTCTTAATTTCTATGTAAATTTATTTTATATTTTATGGATTAGAAATAATGCAATGCAACACTTGGGTGATCTGTCAAAAGGGATGAATTCTGGGATGACTTTCTGGAGGAACTGGCTCTGTTTAGATGTTAAACATGTGAAGAAAATCCAGAAAATTTTATGCAGCTGTAGTTGGATGTGGGTTTGCACCACACCAATAAGCCAATGGTAAGGCACAAACCCAAATTCAAGTACTAGTTCAGTGTTTTTATCCACTCACTCTATTATTTATTTGTTTTTTTGGTTTGGCATCAATAGTTAACAATTGCTTCCCAGGCATTGTTGTAGTAATAGAATTAATATTTAGTTTAAAAACACTTACCAATTTTTGTTGCTTGATAAAAAACGTGAATTATTTTATGTTGAAGAACAACTTGTGCTTCCAAAACAAACCATTTAATTTAGGAAGCGATAGTGTGCAAAATTATTTCAAGAACTTAGAATTTGTTACTTCTAACTTTAACACATTAAATGTTTCATTATGGTTATATATTATTTAGTACAATAATCCATACTGACATTACAAGTATATCATAAGGTTTCTAAAACTATGTTATTGTAAAAAGACAGAATAATTGATATTGACAGTGTTGCATCTAGAAGAAAGCAAGAGAAGTGAGCAATTTTTTTGAAAAAAAAAAAAAAACAAGAAAAAACATTTTTTTTTGAGGACACATTAGTAAAATGTAAGGGTCATGGTCAAAATCCTAAATCAAATGCTTTGTAGAAATGTATGATTTACAAAAATCTGTATGGTAGTTTATTAGATCCAAGGAACTTTACAGACATTACCATATTTATATGATGATGATCATATTAATAATAATAAACATTACAGCTGAAATCTTAAATGGATTTTGGTTTACATATTTAGATTGCATTAGCCAAATTTACTTACTATGATTTATATTAAAAATGTACAGTCTTTCTACAACTAAATTAGCAGTGAAAATGAGTAAATTAAATTATTCCTCGGTACAGATCATTTCATACATCTCGGTCAGGCAATGTGCCGCACTCGTTCAGTGCTCTGAAAGTTTTATAAAGTTTAAGAGCTCCATTTTTAGTAATGCACAGTGACCTTGTCACATATCTGACATTCAATCCGTCCCTTTCACAAAGTAAATAGATCCCACCACAGGACATTTTTACAGCCTGGACAAGATTTGTGAAATGAGCTGTAATAATAAGTAAATTAGAATAAAATTAAAAACAACTTACTGCAACTAATACTCCAACAAAAACACCAACAATAAGATTGAGAACTCTATCCTGAAATTTTGACAATAAATTTAAGTACGGTTATTTATGACAATCACAATACAGAGTAACAGATTAGCTACAAAATCCCTATGCGTAAGATTGTTCCAATTCATCACAGAAAATATTTTGACGATAACTTCAATGGATAACAATTTAGATGTGGACCCGACATACAATCTTGACAATTTAACACACAACAATCAGATTTGGGACATACATTGCCAGAAAATAAAAAGTTTCTCATCATCATCTTATAACAGCTACGTGATGTTTATCTACTTCCAAATGTCAATACGGAAGACGACGTACAGAATATGGATTAAAATTAAGTCTGTTCAGAAAATCTTAATGGTTCAACCGCCGCAACTGGGCAATTTATTGGTAGCCACCAGACTTACCAATCTTTAATGGCAGAACAGAGAGTGACCGATGACTCTATTTTCTGCTGCAGACCTACCGATCGGTACGCATTTCCGAACAGATACCATAACGAGCATGGAAGAGCAGAGAACGTGGGTAATTTCTAATCTACACGCAGAGGAATTTGTGGCCATTCTGTAACTTAAACAGAAATGAAAATTTTTTACTGTTCTATTTGAAACTCCAAATAAAGGTCGATCAGTTATCTGATTTCCAAACAGAGAATGATATTCGGTATTTCTGGCATCCATTTTAAATCAAATCTAGTAATATGTAATAAAAAAAAAAAAAGAAAAGCAACACATCAACAAGCACTGACAATTTCACACTACTCAAAAAAATTATAAGTAAATCAAGTGATGGATAAGCTAAATAATTTTTATCGTTTATTAATAATAGATTTAGAACCTAACTCACTTAACAAAGATAATATTTGAATAAAATATTTAGAAATTCATAAATAATAATTCATTCATTAATTTGTTTATGTTTACTTTCATAATCATAATTTGAAATTTTTAGCACACAAAAAAAAAATAATTTTCATCAATTAAAAATGAAAGTTTGTCATTTTTATTCTACAATTAAACTAGTAAATCAAATTTATATTACAGTTGCGTCACGTGTTCCACTTCATAGAAATGTTGTCAATTTCACAATTTACAAAATAATCGTTTACACTTCCCAGACGTTACAACACGTAAATATGACTGCCAACGCCCCCTCGTCAAAACGAAACTGATTATTTATTTATTTATTTATTTATTTACTTAGTTAATCATCTTCGTAAACAATGTATTAAATTATATTTAATTAAAATGTTTACTGATGTAATATTAATATTAATAAATATATAATATTTACACATTCGATATTTATAAAAAATTAATAATCGTTAATTTAAAATGGTATTGTTTCGTTAAACACATCGCTTTCTTTAAAGATGTAAAAGTCCTCATTTGTTCCGGCAAGAAACTACTGTACTTGAAAGACACAATGCGAACTGCTATGCATCCTGAGCGTCTGCCAGATACTCCTTTGCTGTCCTCTCCCATAGTCACGATATGGGGCACATGGATAAAAGAGGCAGTATTCAATGAGGACCATTTACTTGACTTTCAAAATTTTATCAATGAACTAGATGAATCAGAACGCTCTCATCGTGGATGTTAAGCAAACTTTGGAGAATCCACATTTAATCGCTTCTCTAGTTTACATCCGCCCCAATTTGTTAAATCTTCCGGATATCATTGGGGTATTAGAAGCAAGAGGGTTGTCACTTAAAGAATCTCTGAAAATTTTTCAAACAGTAGAGGATTCTATACAAAACCTTCCTGGTTTATGTGGAAGAAAACTTCGCACGAAGTTGGCGGCGCTTTTAGAGAAGAACAGTGGTTTTTCTGTGCTTCGCAAAGTTAATAGCTGTCTAGTTGGAGATACCTGAAGATTAGGATTGCCAATGTACCTTTGCTGTTAGTACTATCAAGTACTATCCTGTGACTATGTTCGAGGCCGAGAGAAGTTTTTCATTATATAAAAACATTCTCATATTTGTATACTGCATTAATTAATTAATAAACAGATAGCTGAAGAAAATTTAATAATTTTGTTTTATTGTTGTTATTATTATTTTTTTGTTCCAAAAATAAATCCGAAAACACGATCTTTTCGATCCGATTTCGGATCCAAAACTCCACTTTTATCGATCCGAAAAATCCGGGGCTTATTCATAGGATATACAGTACTGTATACTGGATATACTGTGGAAATAAATAAATTAACAAAAACAATGAGAACATTTAATGATATAAATATACTTTTAAAAACTCTATAATTTTAATCAATAACGTCATATTAAAAACGACAATAATAAAAATACAATAATTGTTTCTACAGACTGTCAAGTTTTGTTTATAAAAGTTTCTATGGAGATGTTGTTGTTAATATAAAGTAAAATCCCCAAAGATTCATTTCGTGATATGGTTCTAATATATAAATCACGGGTATTACTTGAGTTAATTACATAAATTAAAAGACTTCAATCAACGTAATGCGTTTATCTACATTCGTGATTCAAAATAGAAAACAATTATTCTGATTATCTTATCATAACACACTTTTTATGTTGCCGTGTAACGTATTCTGATTATCATCATTATATGATAGCCTTTTTTCATTTCCATCCCCTTTCTGTCCCGTGAGCATTAAAAGGGCGTTTTCAATCATTCCATTATGGGTTTACCTAAGCCCACAATGAGGACAGCCGAGTGGTGAGGAACGGAAACCGTATATCTGGAACAGATCTCTCACAAAAAATTTTGAAGTTGCTCGTCCGGATTTGATCCCGGATCTCCCAGAGCAGTAAGATTCCCTAACCTCTGTCCTTTTTACCTTTTATTCTTTCTGTCCCTTGGGAACTAGGAGGGCTTTTTTTAAATCATATCCATCACTGGTTCTTTCAGATCCGCAATGTAGTGGCCGAATGTTGATGCGATGGGTGCAAACCACTCAGAAAAAGATTCCTGAGGGTTTTCGACCACCCACGGCAGTAAACTGACGCCTTAACCTATTTAATTAATACATTAGTAATTCCAAACTGTAATAAATTAATAACTGAATTTTGTCGTGCTTATTTCACACAACTTTCCATTCAAGCAAATATATATTTCCATAGTGACGGTTGGGAGTTTAAACCAATAACATTTAATCCCACGAGAGTTACCTTTAATTATAAATTCTCGCTGATTATTCCATAAACATCTTAGAGCCAGGACATGAATCGAGTTAAAATCTGTGCACTTTACTTATCTAATTTTATATATATTTTATTTTTGAACAATTTTTGTGCTGCTGATGAAAGTAAGTATATTTTTCAAGTTTGCCATTAGTCAAGAACATTTATTTCAATAGTATTAAAACAAGACTTTTTGAGAATGTTCAAAAATCTAAAATTTTAAAATATTTTCTGCTTTAAATTCATATTTTATTTCAGTTATTCATTTATATATAAATTATAATAATTTGTAATTCATGTTTAATGTGGGAAAATATAATCTTTTAAACATGAAAGTTACCAATAGAGCAGGGGTGGCCAACATGAGGCCCGCGGGCCGCATGCGGCCCGCCGGGAGTCGTGTTGCGGCCCGCGGAGCTAGGTCAAATGAACATAAATGTTAACTTTATTGTACATATCACCAAATGAACATTAGAAGAGTTAAGAAGGTTTGGAAGAGTTCTATGAAACGTATTTGGACAAGGATAAATATCTTGCGTTTTACAAACATGCTCTGTCAATGGTTTCGCTATTTGGAAACACTTATGCGTGTGAACAACTTTTTAGTCGTATGAAGTACATCAAATCACAAGTGAGAACACGAATTACTGATGTTCATTTGGAAAACTGTTTGCGTGTAGCGACTACAT